TTTCAAAACCGATTAGTAGGACAGTTTCAATAATTAATACATTGCATATTGTTGTCTTTGAGGTAGTTATTCATATTACAAGATGCAGACATGATATCCTGTCCAAACACTATTAGTACAAATCTTTCTTCTCATTTCATTAAGAGAAAGTAGTTGTATATCTATCTTAACTACTTGTATCTGTATATACGGATACAAAATGGTCCTTCATTTGTATCCCATTTTTTGTTTAGTTTTGTCAAAGATGGGTATTCCTTTGCCATTTAAATATTGTAGGTGCGTGAATTCAGCAAAATAATCCAATATAGTCCAGTAGTCCATAACAGTAGTGGGTTATCCATAGGACTGGCAATGTCAGAGGTAAATACACAAGTTTAAATGTGTCATGACTTTCCTTATATAAGAACTCAAAATATAAATAAAGAAGAAAATAAAAGATATAAAGAAAATAGGGAGACAGATCTTTTGCAAATGGAAAAATGATCAAAAGAAGGAGGAGAGAGGAGAAAAAGAGAAGGAGATGAGAATAGATTTAGAAGGTGCTCTGCCCATGCTCCAACTCCTCACAAGGAATGTAGCCATTGTTTACTGCAAACATGTACTAGTAAAAAATAACAATTTTTAAAAAAGAATGGAACTCTTCAAAACAGACATCTTCTCTTCTTTTACTCCGTTTGAACACTAAGTCTATTGCCTGGTGGGCTGAGGATATAGCTCAGTGGCACAAAGCCTGCCTAGAAAGCGTGAGGTCCTGAGTTCAATTCCTAGTACCCCCATAAAAGAAGCCTATTGCTTGATGCCCCACAGAACCCAGGGTGGGTCTTCCCTCATCAGCTTTCTGGTCCCCATAGCATTCAGAGATACACCCAGAGCTGTGTTTCACGAATGCCAGACATCTCTACTCCAGTCAAGCTGACATATCACAGCTAATGCTCACAATGCACATCTGTACTGGGACAAAAATAGCATAGTGTAAAAACATACATAGCATTGCAGTTAAGGAGAAAATATGTCCAAATCCATCTCTGGAACTTAGAGTCTATACAATGTATAATGTCTTTTTAAAAATAGTTCTAGATCTTTTAGTTTCTAAAAAGATGATGTGAAATAATATAATAAATGAAACCTACCCAATATTTAATATCTAGAGCTGTATTGGTGAAGGAGTTCACATGTCCTGAGAGACTGTACCCTAGAAAACATTGGCTCTTACACTTGGCTGTCAGTATTCAGAAGAGACCTAAAATGAGAGGAAAAAGCAGAGGAAAGTGATAAAAAGGAAAAAGACCTTTTTCCTATACATACTTTGTGTCTTCTACTTACCTAGGATTTGACATATTTTATCACAGTGAATACAACTGGTGCTAGGTTCTTTAGACATCTCTTGGAAGCCTCCTCAGGATGCTACCAAGCAAAACTTTTAATTGCAAAATGAATTTCACCCTATTAACAATCTTTAAGAGTGTAATACAGTTGCACTAATTATAAATAACAGTTTATAGCAATTTTCTAGAACTTTTTTTTTATCACAAATGACTCAACCCTTGTTCTCGTGGAATAGTCACTTTGCCCCTCCTCACAGTTCCTGGCAGCCTCCATTCTGCCTTCCATTCCTCTGCATTAGGTTGCTTTCGATGGATACAGAATCTACTGCTTTTTATTTGACTTATTTTACTTAGCATAATGTCCCCTAGGGACATTGTAGCATGTGACATTTTTACAGCAAAGTGATATTACAGATTTTCCTTGTTCGTCTGGGTGTGGACAATAAGGTTCCTTTCTCCTCTTGGGTATTGCAGACAATCTTGCACTAAACATGGGAATACATCATTTCTTTCAGACTCCAATTTCAATTCTTTTGGTTACATATGCTGAGCAGTGGAAGTAGCAGATCATATGGAAGTTATATTTTTAAATTTTTTGGAAGAATTTCCACTTTGTTTTCTTGATGGCAAAATTTTGCATTCTCATGAATAGTACACAGGTTTCCAATTTCTTGGTCAACATTTATCTTTTGTTTTCAGTAATAGTCATTTTGTCAGGTTTGACATTAGCTTATTGTGGTTTTGATTGACATTTCCTGTTGATTGGCGAGGCTGATACTTTCTCACACACTACTGACATTAAGTAATAATTTGCCCCTGAGGTACCAAATGTATTTATGATACTAAAACCCCTATTGGATATATGGTTTGAAAATCATTTATCCCATTCTACAATTTTCCTTTCCAGGAGTTGTTCACTTTGCTGTGCACAAGTTTTTGGGTTTCTACTTTCATTGCCTGTGCTTTTTTGGTGTATTACTCAAGAAATTACTGGCAAGTTCAATGCTATGAAGCTTTTCCTGTCATTTTTCCTAATATTTTTAGTTTCAAATTATTTTCTTTTCAGGTCTTACATGTAATTCTTGGATTCATTTTGTGATGGAATTTATGTAGGTGCCAAACAGGAGCCTGATTTGATTTTGCTGCATGTGCCTATCTAGTTTTTTCAAAACCAATTGTTGAACAGATATCATACAGTACTCTTGGCCAATGTTGAAGAGCAATATTTACTTATTTATTATTTATTTATTTATTTTGTATTTTACAGAAGGGTCTATAGGGTGTTGAGGGTCTCACTACTAGATTGGACTTGTAGGGATCTGCTTGTTTACAGCCTCTTAAGAGCTGGGATTATAGGTGTGCACCATCAAGCCCAGTCTCGATTGCTATCTCAGAACACCCCGGGGGGTGGGACTGGCACTGCAGGCCTGGGGATCGAACCCCTGACCCCTGTGCTTGCTTGCAGGCACTTTAGTCTGCTGAGCTATTTAGCAGGCTGTTATTCTTTTGAAAATTTTATTCATTTTCATTTACTTAAGTTTTAAAATGTTCAAGGCAATATGAGTATTTGTTTTTGGTCATTATTTATAATTTTATCATATTAACTCAAACATCCTCTCATTGAAATTGTACAACTTTTTCTCATGTATTAGTGAAAGAAGGGAAATATAAGAAAAACTAGTCCGTATTGACATACTATTGTCTTTATTGCTCATGTTTTGCTATTGCTTCTTGTTTGGCATATTAACACTCAGTGATGGTGTTGAAATTCTAGACTTTTGTCTAGAGTATTATATTGTGCTTCTAGGTAACAACTGAAGGTAAGCAGCTCTACTAGATGGTCTGAGTGCATCTTATGTCAGGAGTACTTCCAACTGGTGACACTTCTGAGCATGCAGGAATGGGTTTGGATGGCAGTAGGTGTATCATTTCCCAGTTGACTTTTCACTGTATCTCTGGGACATGCACAGATCTTTGCTGTGGATTCAATCTGTCAATCTTCATTTTAGAGAACTTAGCAGTTTGTTACTTAAACTCTAGGAACAAAGTGAATTCCAGAGATGAAAATATGTAATTGGAAGTTTTTCATTATGTTATGCCTTCTCTTGATGTCTTCATGACAGTCATAGCATTAGATCTCATTTTTAATCTGTATTCCATTGCTACATGTAGAATAAATTTTCAATGTACTGCTTACTGGACATGGTTTACAGATATAGTATTGAAATATTCCATAAATAGGCAGAATAACTATTTCTGCAGATAATTAATTCTTTTTCTAGTTCATTAGAATTGTAAAATTGTATTCATTTTGTCTGACACCCACCAGATAGACAGTGGCATTTGAAAGCATGTGAAACTATGTTTTATGCAGCTTGATGGTCAGAGGATATAAGGACATGACATCAGAGGCTATTTGATTGAGTATGTAGTTTTGACTTACACTCAGATCTGGATATGTTCAGATCTCATCCACTTTACTCATTACTGACACACCACACCCGACACCTACAACTTAAAGGAGAAGTTTATTTTGGATCACAGTCTTAAAAGTTTCAATCTGTGGTCAGCTGACAGCAATGACAAAATAGGCAAGGCAGGGAAGAATCTGTTCATGTCATGGTGGCTGGGATACAGTGAGTGAAGGAGCCATTGAAATCACCCTATAGAATATAGTACTCCCCTCCAAAACCCTGATCTGAGCACAGGAGAATTTAGGTAGATAGATAGATAGATAGATAGATAGATAGATAGATAGATAGATAGATAGATGATTGGTAAGCAGACAGAAGGACAGATAGATGGCCAGAGATAGAGATAAATCAAAGAAAATTATGAAATCTAAACACTACTGATCTCAAGCATTTTGACTAAAAGAAGCAAAATCTATGTTTATATAAGTAGGTGATGAACCATATTTGGCTGTGGGGCTGTGGTGCCCTTGGTGTAGACCAACTCAGTGATGAACAAACATCTGTCTTCTGTCTTCCATCTTTGTGACTTCTCTTCTGGCTCCCTTTGATTTCTTATACACCAGTCACCCTTCTTATTCTATGATAATGATAGCAATAATAAAAAATAGACCAGTTGATGTTAGGTATACTTAATACATGTGTGAAACAGAAATGTAAATGGCAAATTTTTCAATCTGATGTGCTGTATTATGGACTGAATTGTGTTCTATCAAACTTGATAGGTTGAAACACTGCCACCTGTGTGACTATTTGGGAAAAGGAAAATCAGGCTAGTTGGAAGAGAGGGGCTCTTGTCTGAAAGGACTGGTGTCCTTGTAAGAAAGAGGAAGAGGCACAAGATATTTCTCTGCCCTCTAAGGAAAAATTACATGAGAACATATCAGCCCCCTAGAGTTTCATTCAGTTATAGGGCACAAGAGTCACAAAATCCCATTAGGATTCATCTCGTAGATACCTAGTTTACAAAAAAAGAGCAGATGGAACAATATAAAGTTATCTTCCCAAATCGAAGTCAATCTGTGAGTGACATCAGACACAGTGCTTTTGTGGCTGAAAATGCCTTAGGCCATAATAGATTCTCCATATGCTTTCTCCCTCTGGGAATACGTTCAGTACCAGTCCAAGATCTTCAAGTGAACTATGTGACCACATAGTACCACAGCATGCCAATAACAAGATTCTAAGAACAATATAGTCTGGATTCCTCCTGAGATCTCCCATATCTGTTAGCTCATGATAGAGCAGCATTTTCTAGTATGGAAACCTCTACCCACATGCAGCTGTTGAGACTTTGAAATGTGAGCAGCCTAAATTGAGAAACACTGAAAGTGTAAAATATGCACCAATGTAAAAAACTTTGTGAACTATAAAGTTTATCATGGTTACATTGATATCATTGTTCTACTAGGCTACACAAAATAAATTATTAAAATTGCTTTAGCCATTGTGTAGCTACTAGAAAATTTAAAATTGCACATCTGGCTTGCACTACATTTCTGTTAGAGAGGGGCTACTCTGAAGACTCGCACAGATCAGTGGGCATTTCCTTAGTCTTTCCAGACCCAGGTATAGACTTCAGTGTAGGGGTTGCCAAGGTGCAATATGATTGGGTTTGAAACCTTACTGGTTTGTTTCATTGGATGGGGCACACAAAACTGAGAGACAGTTTTGCTTTTCGTGGAAATACATAAGCTAGGTTGGGGAGCTGGCAGGGTGATGTACACAGCTGTTGGTGGCCTGTAGCCCAAAGCGTCTCACATCTCCTCTAGATGCTCCTTCCCCTCTACAACAGCAACTTGTATGCAAAGACCGGACACTCTCTTGTCTATCACTGGACTTGATAGAACAAAAGGATAGACTTTTTCTGACTTCTGTAAAAAAATTAATATCTAAGAATTGACAAAGAAACCCCCCAAGTCCCCCCAAAAATGTGTTCTGCTGAGTCTACATTTATTAGCAGGCAGCTGGACAGACAACACTATGACGAGGAGATTTCCAGAGCACAGACTGGGTGGGTATTGCTCCATGCCCTCAGACCACATAGTCTAGCAGGAAAGAGATGGAAAAAAACTGAAAGCCAGGGGGTCCAATCCCAACAGCTCTGAATTGTTCCTACAGTAAGTAAGAAGAGCTCTGAAGCATTCTTTTTATACATAGGTGGTAAGTGCAGGTGATTCAGATTCGGGTTGTATTTGTTTTCCTTGTAGTTTTCATCAGTCCTTGTTTCACTGGTCCTAGAAAGAGAAGACAGAAAGGTAAGATGCTAGTACTAAGGGACCCTGCAGAAGTCCAGGCTTCACAGTCACAATTGTATCTTTATTAAAGAAATCCATAGCAGAGGAGAATTTACAATCTCTTCCACATTGTACTCAGGGCAATTCCACGAGCACTGTTTTAGAACCTAGCACATGATACCTTTTTAGCTGGGCACAAAAATAAGCATGTTCTAACTCTAAATCTGCTCTTGACCGCCATGTGATCCCTATGGTAACAGAAAAGGGTAGTGATCACTCATACCACCTCTCAGGTTTGAAAAATTAAATTCCAGAGTTTAATGACTTATCAAATTCTCAGATTAGGTTAGCACAACACAATTTTAATGACTTTAATGTTTTTCCCTCACAGTTTGTGTAGGCTATTAGCATAATCAGCTGTTTTGTTGGGCCTGGCTCTTCTACATTTTCAAACACACTTGAAATAACACAGTGTATTTTTGACTCACAAATATTTGAGTTTTGAGCTTTCATAGGAATAATATTTAAGACTCATTTTGTCAGATTACAAACATATCCAACTTTCACACAATGCTTCTGAAATAGAACCTGTTTGTAAACTAGGAACGTACTGGGTATAAAACATTAAATCAATGTCTTAAAGGGAGGCAGGCTGTTTTCTCCACCTAACAGCACATCATCAGCTAGTACTGGTGGATGAGGGCATAAGCAGCAAAACACAGCCGCCCGAATGCAGACATCTCATTTGAAGCCCACACCAACTTCACAACTCTGTCTCTGAACTGCAAGGGGCAAGCCATGATCTTGTTGAATCTTTGTCAATCTGTGTCATATAGTTGAGAATAGCTTTTTTTTTTTAATCTCACAAAGTAATGTCAGTATTTTCATTGATAGAAGAAATATTTGAGTACAGGTAGAACTGATTTGTCACAGCTCAGCATCGTTCTGCTGACTGTTGTGGTTGGATCGCCCTAGGTCAAAGGTTAGAACTTGCAACCAGGTCTAGCCAATCTTGTAATTGGGACAGCACCTACTCTAGACCCTCTAGTTTTGTGCCTTTCCTCAAAACTCAGGAATTATGAAAAAGGGTTACAATGAAGCCAGAAGATCTACCCTAAGTTCCAAATATTGCCCTGAATAACTCTGATAAATGACATGATTTCCACCAAATTGGTTTCTATAAGATGAGGAAGGTATTCCTGGCCCTGTTCACAGGTCATTGTGAGAATACAAAGGAAAAATGCATCTACAACTCTACTGAGCTACATAAATTACAGTAGTCACTGTACACCAGTTAGTATACAATGGGACTGTGTGGTAAACAGCAGTTTAAGTTCTAGGACTACTAACCTAGTTTTCCAGGCAGTTGTGACTGCCTGGCATTATTTCTATTTTGAGGTTGCTAGTTACTCTCAGAGCACCTTCTACCCAGAATTAAAGCTCAGACAGGAAGTTGTAAACTCTAGGATTTACAACCTCAGGAGTCCTCAGAGCATGCTGGGCCATGTGTTATCTGCATCACCTCTCTCCAGGATCACACCACGGAACTGTACCAGGAGGACTGAAATTTCACTCATGTCCAGGACAACTTTGGCTGTAATGATTTCTATCAACAACACCATAAAATTCCTGTTTCTAGTAATGATGGGAAAGACACAAGTATAATGAGAAAAAAGTAGACAGCAACATGAGTGATGCTTAAGCACCAAGCAAAGTGAAATTAAAGGATGGCCTGATATATATATATATATTGCATGCACATCTGTCAAGATCCATCACTGCTTGAAGAAATGGGCCTTTTCAGTATAACCCTAAGACAAACACCTCATATTACAGTTTTTTTTTTGGTGGAACTGGAGATTGAACTCAAGCCCTTGTGCTTGCCAGGGAAGTGCTTATTCTACTGAGCCATCTTGCCAACCTCAAGGACACAGTTTCTGTCAAGTTGTCCACACAGGATTAGAACACAGGGAAGTGAAGTCCTGAGTGTGGTCTATTGGACTTGCACAAGGTTTTGACCTTTAAGTTCTGAGATACCCATAAGTAGAGGTGTTTGTGAGAGAGAATGGTAAATTTCATCAAAAAAATGAGAAGCAATCCACTAAACATTTGTAGGAAATAGAGAATACAACAACTAGGGTGCAAGTTTTAAGCTTTCTTGTTATGAATATGTAAAGACCTAGAGGAAAAAAATAGCTGTCAAGTCTACAGAAGAAATGCAGGTTTTCTAGTTGTCAGGCTACTCTGTCCTTGTTCCCTACTGTTGTACAAGACCCAAAGCACCCTAGCTGATAGCTCTTGTATGGCTAATTTCCCACATCAAGGCAATGTGACCTAAGAGTGCCATAGCACCACTTAATGATTTCTAAATCTAGCAGAATATATTACAATTCTCATATCATTAAAATTCATTATGGCAGTGAAATGGAGCAAATACAGTTGTGAATAAAATGTTATTAAATATCATCTACTAAATCATTACTATATTAGATATAATTACTAAATATTAAGTCTATTTTTATTCAAATTAATTTATTTTTTAAAATTAAATAAATACAGTGGCAATGCCTAACTTTCTAAGCTCATCTCTTGGACTCTTTCTCTAAATCTGTGATGTGGTTTAAAAATATCATATTAGTAGGGATAATATTCAAGATTCCACTCATTTTTTTCAGTCACTGGGCCTAGTACTTTAAAGTCAATGTTTCATGAATATTTTCATATCTTGTTGAGGTCCCCTATTTTAGAGTGTTTAGGTGATTCACAAAGGGTTCTACATGAAGAACATGAAAAAAATGTCATTCGAGCTTATTTATCTTATAACAAAATATTTACTTTTATTTAAATCTTTTGACTTTTCCAAGTTATATATCATCTTGTCAGAGGACTTTACAAATTTATTCTCCAGGGAGAATATGAAAGTCATTAATGTGTGTTGGATTATCCTTGTAAGAATTTTAATGAAACAGGTCAACTTTCAGTGTTAAAAAAAAGCAGTGTTCCATGCAAGGATGTGACTATTACATAGACATAGTTTAAATCCAGCTGTCACTCTCTGAGCTCTCAGTTTGTTTCATGATTTCTTTGTAGGTCACAGAGAATAAAGCCTATCCTGTAAGAAGTAGTGTTAGATTAGAGATATTGCTCACAAGAACCTATTAAATATTCCAGTAAAGTATATTAAATGTAAACTGCCATGTTGTTATCTCCACATATCTCATTAACCACTTAATTATCTTCACAGGGAAAATGAGACGAATTCTGGAATCATTTGTCCTAGTGTCACTTCCCTGACCTGGAAATTTCCATCACCCATGCAAGAGAACAGAAGCAGAACCAAGCATGTGCACCGCCATAGCTGTGAAGGCCTGCGGACTCACCCGTGTGGGCACTGCCAGGTGCCACCTCTGGGGAGTTGCTCCCCTCACACGTCCCTTGACTGCGGATGTGTATATTAGTTTGCTGTATCCTGAAACAGAACAGAGGAAGCTTCAATGCTAGGAGAAACACAGTTATAACAAGAAAAATATAAGGACATAGTGAGTGATGTTTAAGCAGCAAACTAAACTGAATTAGAGGGATGGCCTGTGATCTTTATTCCAGGGCACAATCCACAGTAGGCATCTCTGTGCATTCTAGATTTATTTTCTTTCTCTTAATTTATTTCATAACATACCACCTAGCAATCTACTCACAGAAATGTTATTTCTTGAAGATTATTAGTCAAACAAGCATTCTGTAGATAGAAAAAATAGATTCCAGAGAAAATTTGATTTCATTGAGTATAAAATTACTTGGGGAATGAAAAGTATAATAAGATACAATAATTAGGGTTTTATGGTTTGAATTTTTTTCATTTGTGTATTTAGTACAGGGTCCCACTACACAGTGCTAGGATTACAGGTGTATGCCACCACCTGGACTTTGTCCCTGGTTCAATGCGCTCCTGGGGTGGAGTTGACATGGTATGTAGGACCAAGGATCAAACCCTAGCCCATGGGCTTGCCAAAGTAGACACTTAGTCCATTGAGCTATCTTGCTGGCCCTATAGCTTGCAATAATTTTAAGGGCTGGAAATTGTAATACCTGTTACTTAAAATATTATAAACTCAACATCTTACTTACCTCTAGTGGTGGGAAACTCATTGTCCAACAAAGAAATGTGATCTGTCTGTGAACACTGATAAGCTGAAATGGTTCTCCTACAACTTTTTTATGGACACAAAAACTTATTTGTCCCTCTTCTCTATAATGCTTACTCCCAGGTTGCTCAGCTGAACAATTCACCCTAAAGCGTATTTATTAATACTTTCATCCATTTAGGTTTCCAACTCTTAAAGTTCTTGAATAGAGGATCACATTTTATGGCTCTATAAATCTAATGCAAATTGATAAAATTATATTGATAATTTAGGCCCTTAAACTTTAAATAAAAAGGAGCTGACATATTTGTGGGTGATAGACAAGGTATATAAAATAACTGAATTCCTGAATGTTATGTTCATTCATCAAGTAAGGAGTTAGTTTTTTGAAACTCCATAAGGTACATGTATAGATACTATAATTTGTCTCAATGTTTTCATTGTAAAATGGTCAAATAGAGGCAAAGAGTGGAATTTTTAACATATTTATTTATTTGGTGCAGGGTCTTGCTACACAAGGTTGGACTCATAGTGACTCTCCTATCTCAGCCTCCCCAGTGCTGGGATTGCAAGTGTGTGCCACCACGCCCAGTCTTAGTGGCCAGCACAGGGAGCAAAGCCAGGTCCTTGTGCTTGCCAGGCATGCACTTAGATTGCCAAGCTCTCTCCCTGACCCCAAGAGTGGAATATTTATAGAGGAGAAATTATTACTAATAATCTGGTAACATTTGAACAAAAAGCAATAACAAAACTAAAACTAGATGCCTTTTATTTAACCTAAAATGAAGACATATTTTCAGTGAACAGTACTACTTAAAAACCTGCAAAGTCAGTTGCTTAGTGAAATCACACAATCATGGCCATAAAGATATTAATCTAAGAACAAATTACAGAGGTGGAATTTATCCCACCGTGCTTTTTTTTTGTAGGGTGCCACTTTGCTTTTGTATGGTACCACTTCCTTGAAAGGAAGACTTAGAAAGATGGAAAATCAGCAACTGCTGCTCATAGGACCTTTTAGCTACTATAAGTGGGGGTGATTCTCTACTGCATTGATTCTCAACAGTTTTGGTCGGATACACACAAACACCCATGCTCATAGAGATGTCCTGAAATTGTAATGCCAAACACTTTTTAATTTTTCTTTCACTGGTTAGAGTATAAAACAGCATAGGTAAATAATTTCACCAGAAGGATATAGCATGAAGTCCTTGCTATTTCATACATGAGAAAGATAATTCACATGCTTTGACTTTTAAACCCATTTGATTCTGCAAGATACCTCAAGTTGCTATCTGTACACTACTGCCGTTTAGTACTACAGCTGGTAACCTCTACACTCGAAGGTAGGGAAAGGCGACTGGTATACTTACAGGTTTGCATGACACAGCATGCAGGGGTTGCCGTACGTTTGGCCATCATCACCACAGACAGGCTGTAAATCCTTTGGGCACAGGAAACCCATCCTGGGCAAGACTCGATAGTGCTTGCACATCTCAGAATCCTGCACAAGCGAGGCACAAGGAGGCTTGTTCAAGAGCATGCAAACGAAGCAGTAAGTTTGGGAGAACTTCTCAGCTTCCTTAATCATGACTAAGAACAGAGTTGTGATAAAGGTTTTACAAAATCCCATATTTACTTCATACTGTATTAGATGGACTTAACTTCCTGGATTTGATTTCTTTTAATAATACACAGTTCTAAATAAAGAAGAGCAAAACAACAAGAAAGCAAAAATTCTACAAAGCATGAGGCATGGCTTGCTGGGGGCATGGCCATAGTAAGAGAACTGGGTGGTGCTCATGCTAGAAATAGCAGTCGTGATTTTCAGTGAAGATCCTGGTTATAGTCAATCTAGAAAGTAAAGACTGAGAAGCAAATACTACTTATAGAAGAAGTAATAACAACAACATGCATAATTAGAAAAAAGAAAAACTTAAGTCTAAAAGAAGAATAATTTATTTTTATTTTTATTTTTTTTATGAGCAGAATATATTTATTGAGAGAAAGAAAGCTCCTGTCCAAGAGAGGGACAGGAGGGGGGCCCGAGTGGGTAGTTCCCCAGAAGAATAATTTTTAAAAGAAAAAATTTATAGATTTGAGCAAGAAGACAAATCCAAGGATGCCAATAACTACGTTAGATATTAAAAAGTACTTTAGTTAAAGTAAATTTACAAACTGAAAGAAGAAAGTCAACTAGTAGATGTTTATAAGAAATATAATTTAAGGGCCCGTCAGAGAGCTCAGCAGATTAAAGTGCCTGTTTAGGCAGACACAAGGACTGGCCTTTGATACCCGGTGTACAGTGCCAGTCCTGCCCCTAGGACACGCTGAGATGGCAATTGAGACTGGGCATGGTGGCATGTGCCTATAATCCCAGTGTCTTGGAGGCTGAAAACAGGAGAATCACTATGAGTCTGATCTGTGTAGTGAGACCCTATAGACCCTGTACTAAAAAATACTATATATATGTAACAAATTGAGAATAACAGAACTTAAAATAATCATAATATAATTTATAGATTGTTTAAATGATAATGAAAATGTAAGCTACCAAATCTCAAAAACTAAAGAATAAAAGTAAGAACAAGCCATGATTTTCATAGACATTGGAAAGAAAGAATGTTCTAAAAATCATCCATCTAGACTAGCTCTCAACAAGCTAGGCAATAAGGAGCAAATTAACCTCAAAGAAAATAACAGAAAGAGTGAAGAGGAGAGCATGATGAAAGAGAAAAAAGAACAAAGCAAAATATCTACATGAAACTTTCATACACACGTGGAAGGATTAATAAATTAGCTAGAAGGCAGGAAAACATGTATCACCATTATTAGAAATAAAAGAGACAACAGCATATTAACTACAGATACTAAACAGGCAATATAGAAACATTGTGAATAAATCTGTGCTCAAAATTTAACAGTATAAATTAATAAATTTCTTGAAAAATACTTTCTGAAACAGATAAAAAGTAAAAATCCATTTAGTAGTAGTAGTATAGTATCTCTAATATTCATTTCAGAGGAGCCCCTTGCTTGTTCTTTTGTTGTGCTAAGTGATTCAATATCTAACTGAACCATTTTATATAGTATATTATTTTGTATGTTTTATATTTAGATGGCTTTATGTTGCTATAGACATTTAGGTAGAATTTAGAAAAGCAGCTTTTATGAATCTCTTGCAAAGGTGGATTGACCAAGGAAAAGGAACTGTACTTTAAGGCAACTGTTGTTGGACTGTCCAGCAAGCCTGTGGGTGAAGCATTATAAAGAAACAGACAGAGGCCACAAAGAAGGATGCTTTCTTTTTTAATACGTAGGACACCAATTTTATTTGTTTTAAATTAATTTTTAATTTATTCATAACTCTGAATCATTTTTTTTTATTTTCAAAATGAACCCATGTGCATCCACTTCTCATGAGCTTCACCACTTCTCCCATGGTGAAAACCTGCAGTATCTCTTCTGTGGGTGACTACAATCGCTCAGGAGCTGTCTCCCTCCTTTACTTGCTCCTTGTCTTTCCAAGAGCTCATCACGCAGCTCCCCTTTGTACTCTGGATAACTGGGGAAGGATTCGGGTGGGGGAGAGAAGTGAGTAGAAGCTGAGCGATGAGACTTTTCCACTTGCTGAAATTGCAGAATCCTGGCATCTGACTTTATATTTGATCACATATGAGATTAAACACATCCACTATACACCCACTTCTTAAAATTTTAAAATATTAAATACACTATATCCAACATACTAGATTGAATCAAGTGTAATGATTTTGAAGAACAGACTCATGACAGATGAGTGATACCAGAACGCTCACTGGGTATGCACTCCATTTAATCCTCAAGCTACTGGAGGATGCACTATATCAGCCTTTCCAGATCATTCTGCATGCATGAGGACTGTGGAGACCTAGGGCACCTGGCCTGGGAAGATAATTCAATGAGTGGCTTCTCAGAAAGCATCCTTCTTACCAGAGAAGAATTGGAAGAATCTGGCCTCTCTTCAGAAGCTCTCATATGGGGTGGTTTGGCTTGAGATTTTACCCTTTCTAAGGCTTCTTTTTGACTAGAGAAGAAAATAAAAATTAATTAAAAACAATATTTACAAGGGTCATCTCTACTTCCAGTGGAAAGTTAAATAATCCTAGGAAAATTACTTAGTTATGAAACATTTAGACAGTAACTAGGATAGCATGTCAAGAAAAGTAGACCCCTAGAAGTATGCTGAGAGCTCTGATTACTTAATAGATGTATGACCTTAGGTACTTGGCTAAAGTCCTTGAGTTTCAACTTCCTAGACACAAGAAGAGAGCAGTGTTGGTGATTCCTTCCTCAAAGAACATATGGAAAGTTAACTATTATTGTTTTTCTAGTAGCTTTTAAAATCATCACCATTGTATCCATTGGTCTTTGAATTTGGTTGTTCATTCAAATAACCTAGAAGCCCTTTCTAAAAGACAATTCTTTAACACTAGAAGGTCTGACTTAAAATATTTTGAAGCACAGAAATCTGTATTTTTAAAAATAGGCTTTTCAGTTGGGTCTCATATAATTATGAAACAGAGATTAGGAACCATTTCTTCCAACTGTGATGCTTAAAGTGGAAAGATGTTAAGTAACACAGCTAATCTTATGATTAGAACTTACAACTGTGTTTCCTGTCTCTAAATTCCAGCTCTCTTGCTAATCTGTCAGATGACCTGAAGCACAGAACCTTCATCCTGAAGACCTATGTTAAGAACTCCATGGCTGCATGAGTACACGTTTATTCAGTCAGCACTGTGCTGATGTGCAGGTCCCCTGCTCACTGAGGCTGAGCAGACGCCTGGTACTCACAAGACAGCTCTGCACTTGTAGCACTTGTTTTTATAGGTTCTCCCGTCAGCACCACGCACAGGGTCATTCTCGCGCGTGCAGGTCAGCTCACCATTCCTCACGTTCTTCCGATAGTCACTGCACTCATCCTAGAAGATGGGAGAAGAGACGTGAGCGTGGCCTCTGCCCTTTTGGGTGGGGGGTTTTCTCAAACATGTTTTTGGGAAGTCCTTTCTTGTCCCTGGGCTCAGACTCACTGCACTCATGCCAACGTAGGCCAAGGAACCTGCAGCCTGTCTAAGCCTTGCATCTTCTGCTTCCTCTTTGCACTGGTCCTGGAAATGTAGGGAGACATAAGACAACACTCAGTAGACCTCATCTATCTGGAGGGAGAAGGTCTCCCTCTTCCTTTCATCCTTGGTTCCTTCCCCCCTTATTTTCTATAAGGTGTGCTTTTAACCCAAGGAGAATCTAACTCTAGAAATATGATTATCACTGTTAAAGGACTGAATGAAGTTGTCTTCTTTGCAGTCTTGAAAAGCAAATAGAAAAGGCAGCGTGATGCATGCACACTATTGATTCGCTGGTGCTCAGAAAATCATCTGGAGAAAACAAAAGAGACATCTAAGAAGGAGGCGAAGCACAAGGTATAAGAGTAATGCAGATTGAACAAAATATTAAAATCAACATCGTGCCCAAAGCTTGATTCCATATTTTAAAATGTCAGAGGTAACACATGCAGTTCAGGCAGCAAGGGATAATGTCCCCTATTTTTTGATCCATACTTCTCCAAAAGCAAAAAGACTAATGCAGTAATTGACACACATTCTAGAGAAAATTAACAAAATCGAGAAAGCATCACACCCTCAAATCAGAGTAACAGATTCTTATTGTGGTCCAAAGTAATAACATTGACAATATCATTATTGTTTGAAGCAAGGTATTAGAATTTTTATAACCTGAACCTTTGAGAAGAAGGTAAGAGTCTGAAAATAGAAAGTAAAACAGCTACTTTGGTGTCTTTTAATTAATGACCTTTGTATCATTTGAGGATTGGGACTTTGATTTTTCTTCATCCTCTTTTTTTCTTTCTCTAGCTTCTCTTTCACTGTAAGAAAAAAAAAACAACAGGATTTTTCTAGTTAGTATTGATTTTGTTTAGTCAACTAATTTTTTAGTGCTTAACATAAAAAAAATTAACTTTTTCCTCTTGTTTAGAAAGATTAAAATACTATTATTTAGGTAGTTTTCAATATTAGAATTTTTATATTATATTTATGGAAATATTCTCAGTTTTAATTGATTCAGTTATCCAGGATGATATCACTCTGAAAGGCCATTTTTATAATATTTTAGAATAAACACTCTACAGTGTTACCTAGAAAGTCGCCCCTTACGATGTGCTGTACGCACTATCCGGTCCCGTGATGAATGAAAGCATTATGTCCTGCAGACACTTACTAATAACATATTTAAAAAATAGAAAGTTGTCTCCTTTCTCCTTTTCACTTTGCTGATTAAATTACAACTAAATTCTAAGTTTTGATTGCTGTTCTACACAGAGTGAGTTGAAGTTTATAAGTATTTTTAAAATGTACTGCCACACAACCGCATGGTGCTGCTGTCCTACGGTCTCACTCCGCAGCTCGGGCTCGTGGTGACCCTCCCTTTTTCTTCCTCCCCAGAGCCAGGATTAGAGGCACGCGCCACCAGGCCCGGACTGTGTCATGGGCTCCGCGCGCGCGTGGCATGTGGTATCAGGGATCGAACCACGGTCCCTGCGCTTACCTAAGCAAGCGCTTAGTTCGCTGAGCTATCTCACTGGCCCTTGGTATCCTATTCCTTTTCTAGCCAGAGGCACTGAGATGTCACAAAGCAAACCAGCCTCTCTCTGGTTACTTTCTGCTACATTTCCTCCTTCCAGATACGACTATATTTTCTGTCACCTGAAGAGCAATTCTTATTAAATACTTTGGAAACTAGATAATCCTCTCTAAACTGTAAAGTGCCCAAGGTGGAGAGTCTCAGGAGCTATTTTCTGTCAAGCAGGCACACACACATCAAGCTCATAGAGAAGTCACTTTACGTACAAGATGGTTTGACACATCGCGCACTTGTTGACATACATCTGCCCATCGACGCCTCGGAAGGGGCTGTTGTCTCTGGTGCAGACAAGTCTTCCCTCTTTCTGCTTGCTCCGGAACTCATAGCACTGATCCTGCTAAGTAGGAGAAAGAAAAAGATGGCATAACTGTAGTCGGATCCTTGAAATGAGGAAATAGGATCGGGTGGTTAGATATGAATTGGTAACATTTGATGAGGGGATAGACACAATGAGAATTTGGAGACGGAACGGGTTTTCAGTGAAGGCACTCTATCCAATCTCTGCCTAAGACATTTGGAGTTAGAGGCCAGGGAAATAGCTCAGTGGGGAGAGAGAGAGAGAGAGAGAGAGAGAGAGAGAGAGAGAGAGAGAGAGAGAGA